AAATCAAGAACATTGTGGACAACCCTGACCATCCTCTTCATCAGACTGTCATAGAAAGACAAAGTGTCTTCAGTCAGAGGTTTCTTCAACTTGGCTGTAATACAGACCGCTACAGAAGATCTTTCCTGCCCACAGTCACCAGCATCAATAAGTTTTTAGTTAAATGAGTTACAACAACACCAAATTTCCTTCTGGCATCAATAAAGTATTTTTGAATTGAATTTGAATTGAATAAGCTACTTTCAGTTTCTGAAGGCTGGCTTTTTTAACATTGCACCATAAGTGTGCCGTAAACAGTGAGGTACAATACGATCTAAACAAGTTCAGTTTAACTTCATCAGAGTAAAAACCAAATTTCCAAGCTAGGACATTTATTTTTTGAGCATAAAACTTTCGAACCTGATGGCAAATGCTCTCATCACCTGATAAACTCTCTGTCAGCACACATACTTACACACTTTAAGTAAAGATTTTAGACTTTTGAAACATTCAAGTGATGATTAACCAACAACCTGCTGAACGAAACTTAAGAAACAGTGTTATTGTAGTTTCAAAGCTCAAGAAGGTACGGCTTTGCATAGAATTTATATTTTTGTTAGCATGCAGACTCTAGTTAGCATGTGTGCAAATGTGATTTTTTTTATTTTTCTTAAGAATTAGTTTGAATTCGATCCACCTTGACACGTCTCAGTTCATGGTTCAGTTTGTGCAGCAGCTCTTTAAACTCACACAGAGGTCACAGACTGATTCGTCAGCCATTATTTTTGGCTCGCCTCGAAGTTTTTTTTTAATCAAAAACATTGATGTTTGGCTTTGTGTTCTCTCCCATAATGATTTCTTCTCTTCTCTTGCCTGGATGGCGATGATCTGTTTTGAAGGGGCTCGTGCTTTTCTCGGCAGAAACGAGGAAGATGCTCGATGCTCGCCGTAGAGTGTCAAGAACTATCGTATTTTTGTTCTTAATTTATCCCTTTTTTTTTCTTTGTCCCCCTCACAGAGCAATTACTGGAGTTCATGCATCAGCTGCCCGCCTTCGCCAACATGACCATGTCTGTGAGGAGGGAACTCTGTGCTGTCATGGTCTTCGCTGTGGTTGAACGCGCCGGCACCATCGTTCTCAATGATGGAGAGGAGGTGTGTGTTCATACACAATCATGCACACATAACCCCCTGTCTGGTGACTGCGTTTCATATTGAATTGTGTTTATGTACGGCGCGTCTCTGCCTCTCAGGGAACTGAACCTTACTCTCACCTCCACACACCAACAAATCTTTTCTCTCTTTTATTTTATGTTTTTTCTGCTCTATTAAACCTGAATGGCTGACATCACTTATCGGTGGGCGCTTCTAGCATCCCTTAGGCTCCCAAAGCTGGACTCGCTTAGCGTTTCTCTTTCCTCACAAGTCAAGACGTGACATTCAGTTTGAAAGAAGACAATTTGCTTATTTTTCACTAAAATGCACTTTAACAAAAGAGTACAGTATTTGTCTCTAAGGTCTGGCTTCTACAGGAAATGGATGCTTTACGGGAATTCACGGTTCARTGAGCACTTTTTTTTCCTTGTTTCCGAGCGTACAAAATGTAATTTTTAAAGGGATCCCTGATTAGTTGTAACATTAGACTTTATTTGATAAACATTTATTTTAACTGTAAAATAAAGACTGTAAAAATAC